ATAATAAGAGTAATATTAAAACTAACTAGCTGCCGCCATTGTTGGAAACTGAGCTGGGCCGCGCTATGAATTCTGGGACAGAGCTACTTCTTCTTCTTCGGGGTTTAACGGCAGCTGGCATCCTTGTACATGCAGTGCTGCCATCTTCTGTTTCAGTCCGTTATTACACTCTTAAATCCTACTACGGTACTTATTCCTGCCTCTTTTGTGATCTTACAAAGCTATTAAATCAGTCGTTGACGATTTTGATAGTCGACGTAATCGTGACTAGTCGACTAATCGTGGCAGCCCTAATTTCAGCTGAACCATTTCTATTTGTATTAGAGAGGGAACTGTAGTTATTATACAACCACAATGCTACAGTCAAACTATCATTCAAATAAAGCCTGCATCATTAAATATGAGGCTCCTTATCCGATCTATTCAATTTGTGACAGTAAATCACTAATAAATTTATTGATAATAATATGATAACTTAATACTGTTCAGCTGATATACTGTATGTCCACTTGGATGAATCTGCTTTATTCATTATTCATCACAGTAGGCTATATCATTCATTGTTAGATGTGAACCTGGCTCTCCTGCTAACCTACTCACCAAGAGGGATATAACTTCTCTCACTGCTGCTGTTTTTTTGTATTTGGGCCACACAGTGCTTATCACAATGAGTGGATGACAATACTTAATAGATGCACCTTAACCCATTCCTCCATTTTTAGTTGATGGCGACTCACAGGAGATGATTGTACAGAACCCTAAGCTAACCCTGAGCTGTGGTCCTTGCCATCTCGTGTTTCCCAACCACAGATGACGTTAGCTTCTTCCTAAGATGAGGGAGTCACTGGCGAGGCAGCTGATTATTTACTCTATATTTATCATCACAAATTCCATGTAGCATTTCACACATCATTTAAGAAAGTAAGGATGTGCCTCAGTAGAGGTAATAGAGCATGCATCCCCTCTATTGGCACAAATACAACATTGTCACTCGATGACAAATGGTGCACCGAGTGAACCAAAACGATTCACGTCGGCTGGGTGAACCAATGTCTGACGTGCATTCACTTCTAACAAGTATAAAAGCACAACACACCCTCTAAACACAGACAAGCACTTTGGTTGAAAAGCTTTCTATGTTTTGCGGCTTGTTAGCTTAAAATGTTCTTAAAGTATACACAACATGGAAAACTGCACTGAATGGGAATGATTATATTCCCTTCTGGAAGCACACATAAACAGTCACACACCAAGAAAGGACTATTTGTGAAACTACGCTATAGACACGTGCAGGAAGCATGTTGGTTCTTTGTCTGATTATGACATGTATGTTACTTGGACCCTTGCCTGCCCTAATGTGCTCACATGTGTAATTTTATCTTGTGATTTTACAGTCATTTAACTTTACAGCCAGTTCTCCGGGTAAAAGTCCAGCAGAGTTCATCACCACAAAGTGCAGCCAAAGTTTCTAAATCCTCTACTGTGCAGTTTAATGGGGGAAACTATGCTGCACTGCATGACAGCTTTAAGTTAGCTTGGGAGATACAGGCCCTGTGAACCACTTACTTTTGAACTGTCTGTTTTACCACTTCCATCCTCTTTGCTGTTTCACAACCAACTCAAGTTCCCAGTTTACACTTTATTCCCTTTCTCGCTTCCCTAATCCTGACATATTCTTGTCCACTTTCACAGCTGCTCAGGCAAAACATGAGGAAATCGTCCCTTCCCTGTTATTTCTCCTTATCTGACCCTCCTCCTCCCCCTTCTCCTTTCCTCCACTCCTTTTCCTTGGCATCCTCTTGGCTGCTGGTTTGATAACAGGCTGTCACAAGCATTTAAGGTTTTCTCAGAAAGTGTTGGCTGCACCTTGATGGCCACGAACCCACCAGGTCCGTGGTCCTGGCTGGCAGAAAACAGACAATTGCATTTGCAAGCAAATTAGAGAGACACACATCTTAGTGGAGAGGTGCTGAAGGGGCAAAAAGAGCACTCCCTCTTCCTCCTGTTTCATATGTGCTTTGATTGGACAGTGATTGTTATATGTGGCCCTCATTGTAACCCTGCAAAGGGCAGCAGTACAAACAAATGGTCTAATTACAAGAACCTAATGTGGGAAAGTGAGGAAAGTCAGAGCAGAGGGAAGCCAGCAGGGTTTTCTGGTGTTGTTGCATTTTCTCTGTAGCATTTGTTTTTGTCTGTGTGACTGATATTTGAACTGACACTGACCTAAATTCTTTAGTGCCTGACAGCAGACATGCAGGCAGGCAGGCAGGCAGTCGATGGAACTGTCAGACTAACAGAGAGTGAGGCAGCGGTCAGGCATGGGGAACAGAAAGGACAGAGGTTCACTCACATCGGGAAAAACAACTTCAGTCACTGCACCAACGCCACAGATGCTAAAATCCTGCCCTGAAGTTTTGCACCTGCCAACCTGACTGCTCATTTGCAGGAGTGTGTGTCTGAAAGTTGTGTAGCTGCATCGAAACAGCCAGGAACAACAGGGATTCAAAGTTTTGACGTTACACCACATACAGCAGCGGTCCCCAACCCCTGGGCCTTGGACCGGTACCGGTCCGTGAGTCGTTTGGTACCGGGCCGCGAGAGTTGAGGCTCAGGTGTGAAATATATGGTTTTCAGGGTTTTTATCGGTTTTCAGTGTTATTTTTTTATCGTTTTGATCGTTAACTCGGTTTTCCTGGGTCTTTTCAGTGTGTTATGAATAAATCTTCTTTTTTTGGTACCGGTACTAGTTTTATTTTGTTGTATTTATCCGCGACACCTTAAGGCCGGTCCGTGAAAATATTGTCGGGCATAAACCGGTCCGCGGCGCAAAAAAGGTTGGGGACCGCTGACATACAGTATGTCAATCAGCGTCTTTGATTCAGAGCTCATTATTCTTACCAGACTTAATGAATTCAAATGTTTTAAATTTAAGACAGGACCTGGTTTAAAACCACTCGCAGTCAACTGCCATCTTCAAAATGTCACGATGGCGAGAAAACATCAAAGACTGGGAGAAAGTCTGCGACCAGTTTCCCACTGAATGGTTTAAGCTGACAACTACATGCAATCTGTTTGTGGTAATATCTCAAAAATGACCAGAATATAACCGACTGAGTCGAGTCCACCACTGCACAGAAACACGCTGTAGCATTCATCACTGCACATGGATCACAACGTGTTGGCAATCTGCCTGCATTTATAAATTAAAGGGTAATTATTTGCGAACCTTTGCCAGTCTACCTGAGAGGGACTGCACTCAGTCCAAGTTGGACAATTGGAAACAGCTCACTTGGTGAAAGGCAACCTGTTTCCAATCGCCTTGATATGGAAAGTGGTCCTGCTGAAGTTGAGGGTGTTGTACAGTATGCTCAAACTCTGGGTGATCATCTGGCCACCTCAACCACTCAAAAGCAAAAAAAAAAAAAAATGTGTGACCGGGCAAGACAGTCAAAAAACAAAAACAAAACAAAAAAAACTGCGGTACTAGAAAGTGGCAGTCCATTCCCTTTATTTTTCTTTCTTTCTTTCCCAATCTTGAATGTTTTTGTGGATTTTATTTTCTCTTTTTGTCCAATGGAAATAGCCCTACACCCAGCCCAACTTTGAACTATTTAGGCAGTGCAAAACTGACGTGCAACACCAGATAAATACTGGCTACAATACACCATCATATTTGCAGATATTTTGGCCAATACCAGTGCTATGCCAAAAAGTGATCATTTGCAAGAAGTGATTTGGTATCAAGCCAGTCTGAGCCAGAAAGAACATTTCTGTCACAAAGTGACAGCTACAAGCAGTTTTGGGCAAAGTGACTTTTTTAGATCATTTATTTATGAATGTAAATGTTTCACCGACATTAAAAATGTTGTTTTCAAGAGAGGTCTGGCCAAAAAGGCAGCAGAAATTGCAAAACCTATAACGTAACAGTTATGTAAGGTCTGGATCGGTTATAATGTAGAACACAGAGTAGGTACAATCATGCAGAGTCATAAAGATACGGATTTCCTTACTTTATACATAACCTCTTTGTAAATCCTGCTGACTGCAGACTATTTATCATACATACATAAGCAAAAATACTGGACATAAAATCACTTTTTGACTCAACACCGATATTCAGCTGATGTATCAGCACATCCCTACCAAATGACACTATGTACAAAGATTTGCATTCTAGGATTGAGAACATTCCCTATCCTCATAGTAAAGGTTTTCCTTGTTAGGTAAGAACAGCACACACAGCCTGTTTTCTAAGGAGTATTTAGTACCAGAAGGCGCCCAGTGCATTTCCCTCCCCTCCTATGCATTATTATCATTGTTATTATTATTTATTACTACTGAGGGGGTGAATTACCAACTTGTACTTAAAATGCAAGTGTGCAATATTACACCTATTGCGTCAAATGCAACGTTTGTAATCCACACATCGCGTCATTTTTCACATGGCTGCTGGACTCCTCCTCAGCATCACGGCCAGTCTCCACCTGGATCATAGAGCGAACACAAACCAGCTGCTTTTATCTGTACAATCCAACAACTCGGGCCAAGACACATGTCAGCCTTATGGATGCGAGCAACAATCATTTACGCGAACCCCTCCAGCTCACGTCCTCTTATGTAACACAAAGTATGCGCTGGTTGATTAGCTGTTACTCAACTTGCTCTGCTGTTGCTGCGGTGATACAGAGGTTGACTAGCTGCTGGAGGGGAGGGGAGGGGAGGCAGCCTCACGGAAGAACACCGTGAAGAAGAAAAACACTACGAATAAAAAAAAAAACCTCCATCATTGTCAGCTCTGCACACAGTCAGCTGTGGATACAGGATGTGCCGCGTCTTCTCACACACTCGCTCACGGCCACAGTTGTGTAGTTAACCTTCCACAAAGCGCATCTGACCGCTACCAGCTCTGCTCGGAGCTTTGACTTTAATCAGTTTATTTGCTCAGCTCGTCCGCGGAGCCTGAACACAAAACTAAAGTTTTCTGACGTGCAGCCTACCTGATATGCCCGCGCCGACCACTATAACATCGTAGGTGTTGCTGGGTGCAGTCATGTTGCTGGGTGGTGTGTCTTCTTTCACCTCTTGGTTGTGTCAGCTCGTTGCCGAACGCAGGGTGCACGGCGGAGAGCATCTGGATTAAAAAGCGCCGGGCAGGCCCACTCCCTGCAGACTCCGCCTACCCATAGTAAAGCGCTGCCCTGTGGGTTTGGAGGGTTAGAGAAAACAATTTATGGAATGAAAAAGAAAAAAAAACAAAACAAAAAAACATAAGAAGAAGAAGAAAGTATAGATTACTTACTATAGACCCACATTTCACTAGGAAATTTAAAAACCCATTACAGTTCCGTGGCTCTGTGTGTCTTCTTTTTAGTCCTTTATGCTTTGCAGTAGTTGTAAAAACACAGATGTCCCTGACTGTGGTGCTGTAACTGTCTGGCCAAAGGCTTATCAGCATATTTCTTATCAGCATAGTATTATATAATACCAGGGTGTGTACACTGAGTTTTCAAGTTTAACCGTCATCTTACTTTACACAAAGCTAAGTAGAGCGTGAGGTGCATCCAAAGAATGCATCTGGCTGCACAAAGAGACAGAACAGCTTTATACTTGCTATGGCAGCTCCTATCTATCTATCTTTGAAAAATTCCCCAAATCACTGCTGAATGAAAAAAACGAATTATCTAGGATACTCAGGAGTCTCTCAGCATAGTCATTTTATCTCCTTCTCAAGGGCACTGCTATTGCCTTATATTTTTATGACTTTGTTTTCCTCTGTCTTTAAAAGATTCAGCAGCATTATCATAGGTGATGCATGCAACCGTCATGTTGTATTCTTTAGTTTCTGTTGCCTTCTTGTGGTTGGTTTGTCACAATTAGCCAAGAACTCATCTCTGCACACGCTGTGTGGAGTGCACACAGCCACATCATGTGCTGTTTGGGCTGTGTGCCATATAGCTTGGTTGTGTTTCAGCTAAACTTGCTCAAGGTTTTCTTGTGCATAAACTTAAAACTTGATGATTGAGAAACAGAGAAAGCTGTCATTAAGCAAGCATCAAGGGACTCTGAGGTTATTCAAGCAACTTTGTTCACTTTACGGATCTCTTGAAAAACCTTTAATATCTCAATTTTGTATTGTGAATTATTAAATGAATAAATATAAATTATTAAATATATTAAATCTATGTATTGTACATTTCGGATACGGGGAGAGAATGGAGAGAAACGATGCAGACACGGCGATGACAGAGGCCTGGGAGTTTGAGGGTTCCGTGCTGTATGTTAGCTATTCCTGGGACTGCGCTCTTCTGATGTTGTGCCTGTACTCTGCTGGTTACAGCTCCTAATGTTCCTATTACCACTGGGGCCACTTTGGACTTTACCTTCCACATCTGCTCCAGATGTTCTTTCAGCCCCTGGTACTTCTCTGTTTTCTCATGCTCCTTCTTCCTGATGTTGCTGTCCACTGGGATTGCCACATCTATCATAACTGCGGTGTTCTGTTGCGTGTCAGCCAGTCTGGTTGGCTGGCCACCAGCTGGTTGTCTGTCTGGAACGGAAGTCCCACAGGAACTTAGCCCTGTTGTTCTCAACCACCTTCCAAGGTGTGTCCCATCAGGACTTGGGGACTTCTCCCATACGCAGCACAGATGTTCCTGTACATTATCCCACACAGTCTGGTTGTGCTGTATTCCTGTAATCAGATGCATCTTTAAATATAATGCAGTCCAATACAGCATCAGCAGTGACTCTCTGATGTGTTCTGGTAATGTATCAGTGATGCTGTATTCTTTCTTTAAAATCATCATAATTCCTCATTATGTGGCACTCTATTCCATGAAAACAGTGCCTGTATTCCCAAAACATCTGAAGACTGGGTTAGGTTAAATTTGTGTAATACTTCTGAGTACTTCTCCTGGCCTAAGAATAGAGTTATTTATTTATTTTTAAATTATTTTTTAATATTATAACAGCTCCTAAGGAAGCAATTTGGTGAGTCAGCGGCTCCTTGGCATTTTGATGTTTTGGGGAAAAAAACAACACTAAATGATTTTCCTAAGTGTGACTGAAAATTCCTGTTCCATTAAATGATGATGTGTATTTGTGGAGAATGCTGTGGTGGCTGTGTGAATATGGTGGACAGGTGAGGGACTACAAAGAACTACAGACCAAAGGAGTCGGTGGGAATGCTACCATGACATGAAGTGTTTTAATCTCCAAAACATGTCTGTAATATTTAGTATGCAGAGTAAGCTCCAGCTATATCCTCAATCTTTAATGTTCACTGTGTGCCGCTTCAGTGGGAAACAGAGGTGCGCACAGTGTGGTGGTTTGTCAGCAGAGGGCAGCAGAGGTCCAAGATGAGTTTGGTGACAAAGCCTTAAAATGTCAAAGACTGCTGCTGACCTACTGTAAGCAGGGTTATGTTAGCAGAGGTTTTCTGGTAACATTCTTTGGAAATCAGTATCCATCATTTCATCCATCCATCAGGCTATTACAAAATGAAAGTCAACTAAAACTGAACTAAAACCAATCTGAGCTCACCTGTACTTTGTTTCGATTTAACCAAGTGTGATTTTAGGCGTTATCGAGAATGACCTGTAAATAAAAGCAAGGCGTATTATTTCTCATATCTGAAACACAACAGCAACGTACCTTACTGTCATTTGTCCTGCAACTTAATGAAACACCACAAAAGCCTAACATATGTGAAATGTTTGGTTACACAGTGAGTTTAGATATGAATATAAAGGGTTTTTTTGTTTTACAAACAAACAAACAAACAAACAAACAAACAAACAAACAAACAAACAAACAAACAAACAAAAACCCATGTTTTGGAACATTTTACTGGAAATTAACTTTTCATCCCAGTTTTCCTACATTACAATCCTAGTAAACAACTTTTCCTGCACTGTGGTTAATCTGTTTATTATTCAAAGCAAACACCATACTGGCACATCAAAGTGAGGAGAGAGTAGCTGAAGTTAACGATGCCTGAGCAGCCCTAATTAATCAAACCACGTGGCTATTTCCAAAGTTTCAGGACGAAATTCTTTCTGGTTAGACACAAAGCGCAGACTGCCAAAGCCTCACATTAAGTTAAGATAAACTCTGCTGGATACTTTAGGACATAAACACTTTTTAAAGAAAATATGATCACAAAGAGTGCTGCCAATTTTAGGTTGCCTTTTTAAGAGCTTGCCAGAGACAATAGAATTAGCTTATAGAGGGTTGGCTCTGTCTTTACAGTTTATTGTGTTGTTGATTAATGAGTACAGCCCCGGTCACAAAAATAAAATGAAATGAAACAACAAGCGAAACCTTCAGAGAGAGACCTGAAACACTGTGAGCCTACACCCTACACTGCCATTGTATTCATATTTCCTTAGTAAAGTAAGTGCTGACAGCACGCTCGCAAACCTCAAGCAGTGAATGGTCACATTGTGAACCCTCCAGCACATGGCTGTTGTCCACGCTTCACGTCTGGCATTATGATGGAAAGCTAAACATACAGAGGTGATTTTTTTTAAACGAGTCCAAATGAAATGCTTCTTTTCTACGATTTTTTATCAAACGCCTGAGTGGTTATGATTAGGCTCGAGACTGAATAAATGTGTGATGTCTGCTGATGTGAAGAGTTATATAATGACCACATCTGCCTGCCAGGCTGCCTTACACCTGGAAAAGAAGAAAGTGGACCTGATGAATGATGTTTCTGCTGCTTTAATTAGAAGGCCTGGACCCGGCCAACAACAGTCTCCCCGATCCTATTTTGTTCTGCTGGGACAGCCTGAAAAGAGAGCTGTTAGCATCAGCCTTGAACCTTCTCTCATTCTGTCACACCAGTTCTCCTGTTAATTACACCTACTCGTGCCTCCTCACCACCGGCGCTTTTGAGAAAAGGTGAGCCACAGTGAGAGGAGACAGCAGAGAAAGGCAGATTAATCTCTGGAGTGGAAGGTAAAGCCATTTTTATGAGGTTCACGTGTGAAGCAGCCGGCCGTTCTGTCAGTTGTTGTCGGCACTGAAGTGCTCAGAGAGCAGCGTGTTGTGCTGTTTCACAGGGTACAGGTCTGAAAACAGCGAACACATGTGTGCAGGGAGTGGATACTGCAAGCAGAAAAAACACATACACTTTGTAAGTGTCAGAGCTCTGTGTTCCAGGCTGTCACACTTCTCTGAAAAAGAATCTTACAGGATACTCGGTGAATCCACACAGTGGGCTTTGGGTGTGTGAGTGAAAGGATCCATCCTTCAGTTTTTCATCGTTTGCATTTCGTTTGCATGTGTTTTCTTTTTCTTTAGCTTTGTTGTGCCACAACCTGGGAAGGAGCAATCTGAGTTTCATCAATATGTTGGCAATTTGATCAAAACCTAAATCAGAAACGGATCTACCCGTTGGTTACTTCATATTTGTCTTCTCTATGCGTTATGATGCAAAACTGTATAGAAGCAAACCATTAAATACCTGCAGTCACAATCCTAAAGCTTTTTTGTATTTCATTTCTTTTTTCAGTTCTATGAATTCATCTGCACGCAGCTGACTTTTATGGTTCCTGCTCTGGATTTGAATGTCTGCTATGAGCACTAGGGATGCACAAAGGATGATGCACACATATAATCCACTGTTACTGTTTTTAATTTCCCTTTAAGATCAGCTTCTCTTCTCCAGCTGTTTCAGGGCTGGATGAAGTTCATATTACAAGCAGCACATGTCATTGCTAAGCTACCACTGACTGCACTGAAATGTTTTAGCTTACAAAGTGGGATTCCAGTGACCATAGGATCAGCAGTCACCTCTCTGTCTGGGTTTATGTGACTTAGATTAGAGCTGACAGAACAAGAAGTCAGATCAGTTTCCTCATATTGTTCTCAGCAGACTGATTTGCATGGGGTAAATAAGGAAATGTATTAAGAGGCAAAAATCCCCACAGATATCTACATCACCTCTTGGTGACTAGCTTCCAGTGTCTGTATTAAACTCCACCACTTCCATCTTAGTGGGTTAGATGTGTTTGCAAAAGGGACTTCTGGCTGTGTGGATGTTTTTGAGAAGACATCTGCTCCTTTGTATCTCAGTAACAAAAATCATAATAAAACTTGTACTTGCTTCAGTTCATCATCAATAAAAGTTCATTTTGTAAACTTTTCCTTCTCATTTTAAGTGAAAGAAATTCACACAAAACATATTATTTATCCCACATTAAGTTTGTCTTTCTCTTATTTTTGAAGTGTTAAATTTTCTGATAAGACATTTAATGACATGTAGAGGTTTAATTAATAGCAGAACATCAAACAACTATTCCATTTACTAAGACTGGCTTTTAATTTTTTACCCATTTTAGTCGTTCTGCAGTGAACTGCACAAACTGATAAGTGATCTGTTAAGGCACCAGTCACACAGGCCTGCAGATGGG